TCAATTTAAAATTATGGATGTTCATATTTGCGGTGATGTTAGTAAAGGGGTATCCACATTGAATTTTAAAGTGTGTTTTATAAAGAGTATTTCACTTCAGGTGAGTATCGATAATGGTTCAAATTGGACGGATATTGATGCAGCGGAATTATTAGTTGATGCGAATCACGTGTATTTTGAAGAAGGTCAGGCTGGTGAATTTATTGAATATTATAATGGGAATTTTTATATCGGAAAACCGGAAACAAGTGTAAATGGAGCAGTAATTGCCACGCAAGTTCTCAGTTTTCCAACTGTTTATGGTTTAGCTAGTCGTCGTACTGTTCCTCCCGGTTTTTTTACTCCAAGTCCTACAGGAGTTTCATATGTCGAGCCTAGTTTTGATGTTCTTTCTTCCTATTCTTCTTTTATATATCAAAGTAAATTACCCGGTGCCAGTTTACATTTATCACTTGATGTCGCTGGAGTATCTTCGAGTGAAAAAATGATGACGACCCCCACTATGATGGCTGGAAAGTTATATAAATTTATTCCGGAGAATCAAAATGGACGTTTTTTTCCTTTTATTATGTATGGTGCCAAAGCTACTCTTCCTACAGGTGCTGGTGATATTACTGATGCTCTTTCTTTTATTGATGATGGTGGTATTTCTTGGACTGGTAATGCGGGAATACCTCAAGAAGAAGAGGAGATTATTTTGGATAATGCCAATGTTGATTTACAGGATGTTATTCGTGATAATGTGAAAATAAAAGTTCGTGTTGGTCGTGGTATTGTAGTTGGAGGATTTCAGGGATCGGATGCCGCGGATGTTGAAGCTGCATATAAACAAGAACTCGCTAATCATACCACCGTTGAGACTGATGGTTCATATATTATGAAAATTATGGGGTATATTACAGTGAGATTTAAGCATTTGCGTTCATCTCCTCTTGAGATTGTCGAAGCATATAATTTTGTTCGTTGTCAGTCATCTTGGAGAAATCCAACGACTGGCGAGGTTGCATCTCATGACAGTGTAATTTCGTTAAATGGTTTAGGACAATTTGTTCAAGACGGTGTTAGTGGGTTTGTTATTGAACGTGGTGATGGAGAGTCATGGACGGATGCATTGAAACGATATGGTGTTGAAAACATTCCAGTTGATACTTTCTTGACTCTCGGCTCTCTTGCTGAAGGAACGGGTATTACTTCTTATGCATGTAATATGGTTAAAAAAGGAGTTAAGAATGTAATTGGTCCATTAGTTGAAAGTGCCATTTCTGATGCTGTACCTGGTTATAATACTGCTAAGGTGTTGGTAGGATATGCTTATACTGGTATTTCTGAAGGTATGGAGTTTATTGATAATAATACCTATTTGAGTGCTGGTCGAGATGCTTTGGAATCCGTCTTAATTGGTGGGTTGAGGAAAGTTGCAGGTGATAAAGTTGTCGATTTTTGTGGTAATGTTACTTCATTACTTTCAAAGACTATATCACTCTTTAATTAGAACTTTTAATTGAATCTTGTTTTCAATCATTTGATGCAACGACGTGTTAGTAGACGTAATTATCCAAGAAGAGGTTATAAAAAACGTACAACTTTGAAACGACAAGCATTTGGTAATTTTGCAAGTGCTATGCAGCAACGAGATAGTACTAATGTAGTTATTAGTATGCAAGAGGATGTTTCTATTAATGTTCCAGTTGGTGCAAATGAAGGTACAATGTTGAGGAATGTCACTGCTTTGATGACTTCTACACAATATTTTCATAATTATATGGGAATGTATGATCAATTCAAGTTAAATGCTGTCAGAGCATCCATGGAAATGACATTCATTGGAAATCAGTTGTTAAATAGTGCAACATTCCCTTCTATATGTACGGCATGGGATCGTAATGGTGTTAGAATTAATACTGCTGTTATTAATAATACGAGATATTTCCAATTACCCGCTTATTCTTCTGTTTCTTCTTATTCTAGTGCAAATGAAAAGACATTGTATTATGGTAGTAGATGGGGAGTAGTGAGACAATTAGATGCGGCATCTATGATGGAAAAGTCTATGTATTTGCCAACAACTAATACTAGAGATGTACTTAGTATGGATAATATGTATAGTGCATGGAATCCTCAATTACTTATCGCTATAAAAACTCCTCAAGCTGTTAATGTTGCCAATGCTTGTACTCTTACTATTCATTGGCAATTTGATGTTACATTGAGAGGTTTGAGAAAAGTACTTGTTACTGATGAAAATTCATTTAAACCTTATGCTGGGTTTATTGGTTATGCTCGCAATAATAATGGACTTGTTGTACCTAGTAATATTCCTAATGCTCAACCTCCGTATATTTTAGTTGGAGCTATTGCTAATGGATTTGCTCCATCAATTAATCCCGAGACTGTTTATGATAATGCCAATGATGCATATTCTAACGGTGGGTTGGTAATACCAAATAATGGATTGCCAGAACATAATGTTAATCTCTAATTGATTATTGAACTTTATTTGGTTATTTGATGTGGAGACGAAGGAGAAGACAATATAGTTATAACAAACGAAATAACCGTTATTATAATAGTGCCGGAAAGTATGTTTCCAGACAATATGATAAACAACCCATTGATAATGAACAACAGTTTTATCAATTTGGTGGAAGACCTTATAATCCACCACTTCCAGATGAATCTCTTCAAAATATAGTTAGTAGGGAATTAGATAAACGATTAGGTGAAGAAGGTAGTTTTTATAAAGAAAACAATAAACGACAGAAAAAGATTGATGATGATAATAAAAGTCTGTATAGAGCTATTCTACGTGCTCAACAGGATAATCTTAAAAATGTCCATCATATTGAACGTTTAGAGTCTGCAATTAAAAAATATAAACAAAATGCTGAACGATTTGTTACAGTTGAAGATTTAGTTCGTGAAAATAGAGAAATGATAAATGAAAATGTGAATAAGATCAATGAATTAAAATTACAATTTGGTGATTTTATTCCTCGTAATGTTCGTACTCAAATAAAGGATCTTACAGAACAAAATTCAGTATTGAAACGTCGTGTATCTCAAATTGAAAGGAATAATGGGATATTTGTTACTCGTGCAGAGTTAAATGCTTTCAGAGATTTCTATGAACCTCTAATTGAAAAACAAGGTTCTAGATTACAAAATATCGAAGAACGAGTTAATGTCATGAGAGGATTAATTGATAAATATCCTGCTTTTGAGAATGAATTACAGAATCTATCTAATGCTTATCGGAATATGGGAATGGTATTTTCTAAACAATATGATGATTTAAATTCTCGATTTAGACATTTAAATACAATAAGTCCAGAAAATTTAAATGCTGTTAGAGCGGATTTGGAATTATATAAAAACCAACTTCAAAAAGAAATACAATTACTTTATAAGACTAAATTGGATGTTAATGATGCTGCTAAGTGGTTTGATCAGACATTACCTAATACATATAATCGAAATGATGTAAATGCTTTATTAGGACAAATTAATGATTATGTAAAGAAACAAGAAGGAATTATTAAGGATATTGATTCAAGACTTGCTGAACAGAACCGATTTTCATTGAAACAACTCGATGCTGTTACAGATAAGGTCAATTTATATACAGAACGTCTTGATAAATTAGAAAAGAAATCAGAAGAATGGAAAAATGTTTTTGATGTTGTTAATAGATTACCTGAACATATGAAAATACCATTAAATGATTTACTTAAAGATTTATTGGAAGAAAGAGAACCCGCTAATTTCACTAGAAGAATGAGAATACTTGAGAGTGAAGTGAAAGCTCTTAATTCATCAATACATAAAATTGGTAGTGGTAAAACAGAAGAAATTACTCGTGTAATAAGTTTGGTGAATAGTATACAAAATGATATGAATTCATATAAAAAGAAGGGACAAATAATAAATGCAGGAGAAGAACAATTTTATAGTGATGATCCGGATATGAGACAGAGTAAAAAGGCATTTGAAAATACACGCCAATTATTAATTTCTCGTTTTAAAGATGTTAATAAGTATATAAAAGATGATGAGGTTCGGGGTGCACAATATAATGATGTAATAAGTAATGTTAATGCAATTATGAAACAATTTGAAAATATTGCTCAGTCTTTTAATGCTGAATATGTTGTTCCTGTTAATGATATGCAAAATTTCCATGAAAGTATGATGATGGTTTTGAGTGGTATTATGGATGATAAGTCTAATGTTGATGAAATTCGTTATAAATTGGATGTTGCTTCTCACGATTTTGATAAATTACGAGGTTCTTGGAATGATAATAGAAATGCAGGTGCTAAGATTATTGCAAATAAGTTAGCTGAACGAAATGGTATAAATATTAATGATTTTGTTGAATATGCTCAGAGTTTTGCTGTACGTGGTGGTGCAGATTCTTATGTTTCTGAGAGTGTAATACAGCCTAGAAAAAGAATGATAAGAGATGATATTTCTTCTGATTCAAATTCTGGATTTGACAAACGCGGAGATGGAACAGTTACACCGAGAGAAAGAAATCGTGGATATGAAATAATGGGTAGACATAAAATTGAACCTAAATATGATGCTATTCCCATTGCTTCGGATTATAGACAGAAGACAAATGATTTGATGCGTTCATCTTATAATGAATATGATTACGAGAAGTGGTACAAAGAAGCTAGAGGAAGAATAAAAGAACGAGTAAAGAAATATTATGATAATCCAGAAAATGAAAGAGAAGTTGTCGATATTAATGGACATATTACTGAATCGATTCCAAGAGGTGTGTATAACATGATTGAGGCCGATGAAATTGGACGATATGAAAAGCGCGTGAGTGCTTCGAAAAGAAACAATTTAATATTGAAACGTACCATGGAACGCATTAATAAACATGCATGGGAAGATGCAATGAAGAAGGATAAAACAGTGAAACCGAGAAAAATAACAAAAATTTCAATGGTAAAAGATAAAAAGAAGTAAATTAATTTAATTCTTTTTTAGTCGTAGATTATGTCTGGATCATTTCCATTCCCCAAAAAAGGTGGTTGTTCCACTGTAAAGTCTTCATCGTCCGTATAGCCATCTTCTTCACTCGTTTTTTTGTTAAAGTAATTCGATCTTTCCCTTTCAAACTCTGACATCATATCGTCTTCGAAACGTTTAAAATTCTCTTCCGTCATGCCGAGTGGGTTGTCATTTTGGTATTCGTTTAGGTCGTTCTCCCATTCTTCCACTAAGCTTTCATTATCGTCTTCTAATTGGTTGAGTTTCTGTTTTAAGATATTGTTCGATTTTTTGGCCGTTTTCATCCTTTCGGTAAATTCTTCGAGGAATGTTTCGTCGTAACCCAGTTCTTCCATCAGATTAGTTACCCTCGTTTCAAATTTCACATGCTGCAAAGATTCTTTATCTGTATCTTGGTAATCTTCACTGTCGACGTCTTTAATTTGGTCATATTTTTCGTTCAAATCCTCTCGTGGATCATAATCTCTCTCCTCTTCTGACATGTCTTTTGATTGATTTTCAGTTTCATTGGGATCTTTGTAAATCTTTTTATTTAAGAACACGGTTAATGAGTTTCTTTTCCACCATGAATAACCGCCGTTTTCTCTCATTAAATTTACGACGTTTTCATATTCCCTTTGATTGAGGAGGTGGACACATGGTCTCGCCGTTACAATCGCCTTTGAGTATTTGATATTTACTATCGTTTTTTTATTGATTGTGGACGTGATGGCTTTTATTAAGCGCATGGTGTGTTTGTCGTAATCAACGTCGTCGAATAACAGGAATTTATAATGTTGCTCGTCGTCGTAGGTATCAAACAGGGAATCTCCCCGCAACATAAATGTATTATATTTCATAAATATTTCCTGTATTGCGAATTCCGTTTTCCCTGTTTTGGTTGGACCTACGACGAATAGGTTACCCATTCGATATCTGTCCCCTGACGCGCACTTGATCCACTTTCTAATCGTCTTAATTTCTTCCATGTCTTCTTTCCACGGCAGTAGGTCAGTCTTCGTATAATGCTCCATGTCAAGTCTTCTGGCATTTTTTCTCATCCAACGGGCTTTGATGCGCCCCTCCTGTTGAATGTATTTCTCTGAATTGATCTCCATCAGGTTTTGTTCCAGCTCTTTATAATCTCTGTAGGAGTCCATGTCATTTAACGCATTTACCCATGTTTGCTTCAATTCTTCTTTCTTAGTCGGATCCCCCTGGTACATTCCTTTCCCGTTCTTCGTTATGTACTTTATCAGTGCAGAGATATCCCCCGTTCTCGAGGTGTATGAGTTAACGCGAGAATACCAGAACGTTTGCCTGGTTCCGTCCGAGTGTGTAATGATTGGCCTGGCATTGAACGACCTGGGGCGCTTCAATACGATTAGGGCGTGCTGATGTGGTCGGGGATTCGTGTCATCGTGTTCTACAGGTGAGATGTGAGCGTATTGTACGTTGCTTGTTGCCCCGGCCATTCTATCTATTATTTCCTTGAACTGGGTCTGATTCGCAACTTCATCACCCCAGAGAGTGAGATACATATACTTTGACGTAAAATGTAAAGCCTTATCATGTTTTAATGTTTCTTTTAAACGGGTTTCGTCTAGCTTACTCGGTTCACTGTTAAAATTATCTGTTGACATTGTTTGAGAAAAAAAAGTTGCATGTCTCGATAGTCGAACTATTTACGTGTTGCGATGAGGATTTCACACGTGTTGATTACGTGTTATTCGCGTCACTGAAAGGAGGTGAACTATTTAATGAAAACTGGTGAATTCATAACGAAGAAACGATGTCGAATATGAACAGACCAAAGGACGATATATACGCGGATGTTGCCTCGATGGATGTAATGGATGTCTACACAGAGTCTCGAGCCGATCCAAATGTTAATTCCTTCCTCAAAAAATTCTTCTACACGATGAGGGAACCATCTTATATTGATTGGAAACTTAATAATAGTGATAAGATAAAGAACGATGATGAAAGACAGGATTTATTGAGACAGAAGCTGGAGAGTATCAGGAGGTGCGAACGAATGTCAGAATATCTGGATGAAATTAATATTGGTCTTGCCTCTTTTAACTCCTGGAATAGAAAATTCGCGAAGAAATTGAATCAGAAAACGATTAATCAGAGTACGATTCCGGAATGGGTTAGACGCTGTTCCAGTAGAGAGAAGGAAATTGCCGTTGTGGAGGAAAGGGAACGCGGTGCCCTGCTCAGTGTCTCTGAAAAGGGTGACAAGGAAAAGAAGCCCAAGAAGGTTGATAAAGAAGACTAAACAACTAATTTAATCCTTTTTGGTCTTACTGTATTTAAATAATATTTATATTTGATATTCATACAATGTCAATGTTTAAATTCGAAACCCGGTGCATGGGGTAAAATGTTTTGTTTCAATTATATATTCGGGAACGCCCGTTGAGCGACTTCTATTCATTGAGAAAATATATATATATACAATAAAAGAGGAAAATTAGAGGAGAAATAATTAAATTAATTAAAATTTTCTTCAACGTAAAGGGTGCTAATTTCCTGAATTGTTCTCTCCAGTTTATCAAAGCGGACAAGGTAGCATTTGATATCTTCCAAAAAGAAGGGGAGATAATTAGCCAGACTGGAATTATATTCATACTCCTCGTTGAAATCGAGGCGCCTCACCCAATAAAACAGAGCAATGAGGAGGCTTTCCCCTTCCCTGGTAATATTAGATGAGAGATGGAGTCTAATTTCCTCGACTAATTGGTTGACAAGTCCCTTTAATGCTTTCTTGGTTTCGGTTGGTGTATTCATGTTTGTCGAACTGAATATTCAATAAAAAAATATCGATGGAAAAAAAAACCCTTCTGTCTGTTTTCTTATTTTTAGCGAGTGAGGAATTTTTTTTTGTCTGTTTATGAAATCGGAATGTCTGTTTGAGATGCTTTGTATCTTTGGTGGTGAAACGTGGATGTTTAAACGAACTTGAAAAAGAGTTCATTGATGAGTATCACGATTGACGACCGTATTGAGGCTTGTAGTATCGAAGATTTGAGTGTTGATGTACTTGCTAGTTATTTTTTGGATCTCGATGGTATAGAGGAGTTGTGCGATGATATGAAGGAATTATACAAAAAGGAACAGTGTGCTACTCTAGGGGATGATAACTATCTGAGAATTATGGAAAGGGAAGCTGAGCTTGTAGAAGATATCGCTTTAACATCTATGAACTTTTTAAGAGAATATAAGAAAGTAATTGAAATAATGAAGCGATGCTCTTCTAAACGCCGTAATGAAACCAAACCGAAGAAAACTAATTGATTCTTCAATTAATAGTTATTCTAAAATTTTTAAAACCAATTCTGCTAAAATAATAAGGATGGTCAATAATAATAATATAGCGGCTGTGGCAATAGAATAACAGAGTCTCCGTAATATTCTTGGCTGTCTTGTTTCGGAATCCTTTATAAACGGTTCTTCGGGTTTAACAGGCATTGGGAAATGAAATGAGAATTTTAGATGAATAGTCAATTATTTCATTTCGAATCTTTCCGTCTTAAATAAAACTCAAAATATTTGTTATTAATTTTGAGTAAGTCGTCCTTTGTTTTGTACATATCCAATTCAATTGTTCTTTCTCTTCTAAGAATTCTATTTAACTGCTCCTGATTATTGCTACAAAATAATAATATAAAGACATCATTCACGTATTCTCCGAGTAACATTTGATAAATTATTTCCGATAAAATAAAATAGGATATCTGTTCTATTCCAAAGAAAATCGTATCAATGTGAATATAATTAATGTTTTTTTCGAATAACTTCGGTATTTTGTATTTATCACACATGCTTTCTATTTTTAACATAATAATGCTGCGTTCTTTTTCTGTTAGTGTTGTATCGTCCTTGCAGAATATGTTTAAAGCTTCCAGGGGATGTCTTTCCCAGACAATGACATCCGCTTCTTCGAAATCCAGTGTATTCAGTTGTTTTTCATAACAACTTAATACGTATAATTGAAATTGGTAATTTGAAATTTCACCGTGGTATAATCTTTCTAAATATTTTTCCCCGTCTACATCGAAATCGATATACTCTTTAATGAATGATACATCGTCTCTTTCTCGTAAATATTCATTTAACCATTTCATGACAGAAGTCTTTCCGGTTGCTAAACTGCCGCTTATGAATATATGCTGTTTCGTGAATTGATATGTCGGTTCTTCTGATCGCATGGGGGATATATTCATGCTTTCCTTGTTCATTATTCAATTGGACTATTACTCGTGTTTAATGAGTTCTCTTTTTTTTTGTAATTAAACTGGTATTATTAAATTATTATTAAATAGGTTTGTATTCCTCAACCGTTATACAAACTTCACCTTCTCTCTTTCCTTATTTATATTTGAGTGTTTCGATGCTTCTTTATACTTCTAAGTAATATTTTCTTCTTATTTCTGTACCTTTCTTTCACCCTAATTCATCACCGTTTGAAATTTTTGAATGTTATTTTCAACCCTGCCACGTTGCGTTTTTATATAAACAATTGTCAGCGAACTAATAATTTCAGTCGGTTCTTGCACTGACTATTTTGTTATAAGTATCTTTTCCTTTTTTATAAAAATAGCTGAGTAAATAATAATTGAGTTTTGAATTGAGTTAAAATTGAGGTATAATATTTATTTTAATTCCATAAATTTTGTTATTCAACACACTTTAGTCAGAGAGTGTTTCATAAATAATTCAACACTGACATCTGAGGTCCAAAATATATATATATATTTATACTGATATATATTTTTTATTATATTTTATAATATATTTTATTATATTTTACTATAATTCTTGTCAGCGTTGTCAGCTGACATTTCTATTTGTAATTTTTTAGATTTTTTTGTTATCTATCCCATAATTCTATTTATATTTGATTACGTGTTGATGAGTAAATTCTATTTCTATAAATACATTTGAGTTGTTACCACGTCAAATCTATTTCTATAAATAATTATTACGTATTTACACGTCATCATTCTATTTTTAGAACATTCATAATCATTTCATTTTGAAATATTAATAATTTGTGATTTTCTCCGGAGAAAATCACAAATTATTAATATTTTTTCTTCTTCTGACATATTTCTGTTATTTATATTCTTCTTTATATCGTTTAATTTCTTTTATTATATCTAATTCTTGTTTATTATCATTATGTCTTATTTTCTTCTATTTTCTTATTATTTATATTATTCTTCTATTATTCTTTTAATCATATTCTATTTCTTCTTTTTTATTTATTATTCATTCTTTTTATTTTTATTTCCATTTTCTATTTCTTTTCATTTATTATCTTTATTTCAAATGAAAAATCTATACATTCTTATGTTGTTATGAATCAAAATATAATCTCCATTCTAATATTTACACAAATGAATTAGTATATACTAATTTCATTCTTTTAGATTGATTAAAAATAAATAATTATAATAAATTATAATAAAAATAATGTGATTTTAAATATTAGAGAGAATAATAAGTTATAAACAGGAGAAACGTGAATAAATGATTAGATATGAAATAGTCAAAGAATTAAAGAATTATATTTTCTACAAACAGAATATGGTATAAAACAAAATATAAATAAATGATAAATAACCAAATGAATGAAGAAATAATAATATACAATATACAAATTAACACACTAATAATAAATTGTACCATACAAAATAATTATAAAAAAGAAATAAATAAAAATAAGAAAATAAATATTTCATAAATTAAAATATATTAAAAAAGCAAAAAGAAACATGATAAATTTAATCAAATAAATAGATATTATAAAGAAGTAAATAAATAAACAAATAGAATAAATTTCATAATATTAAATAAATTGAATAAATAAAATAAATTATATATTTCAAAAGAAGAAAATCAAAAATAATTTATTCAATAAATAATAATAATAATAATAATAGTAATCATAAATAAATATAATTTTATTAATTCTTTATAATTTTATAAATAATTTAATGAATTAATAATATTTAATATTTTATCTATGTAAATAATATAATAATGTAACAATTTACAAATAAAATAAAAATATATTTAAATATTCTTTTCATTCATTATTTCATATTAACAAATAAAATAATTATGTTAATAAATATTAATATTTAATTCTTTTTATAAAATAAATTCTATGTTTATTTTTTAAATAAATATTTTAATTTATAACTCTTCTTATTTATTTCTTATTTTTCATATAAATTATTTATTCAATTATTCTATAGAAATATTAATATTATTTATAATATTTTATTCGATTCATATATTAGTTTATACTAAACATATTTAGTTTATTATTCATCTATCAGAATTATTTATTAATTTAAAATTGTTTTATATAAATATTAATAATAAAATTAAAAATGAAATAAAACTTTTATTTATTATCAAGAAAATATATTAATTATTATGTTTCAAAACAAACATCTTCTATATGATATTTAACTGCTATTACATCTATTATTTTAATATCAAATAGATTATTTCTTCTATTCTATATAGATTCTTATATTCATCAAAATGATTATAACATTATTTCATTAATTCTTTCATATTTTTGTTAACAATATCCGTCTCAATTATTTCATATGGTATTTTGATTCAAAACACTTCTATTAAT